CTTGCAGCTCAGCCCTCGAGAGCTCCTGGCACCTGGGCCAGCCACCCCCCACTCTGTGCCCTGTTCAGGGATACCCTGTGTCGGGGCTGGGCCAGCCCCGTGCTGTCCTCGCCACGGACCGGCCCCCATGCCCTCCTCCCCGGCCTCTCCTGACCATGCGCACCCAAGGCGCTCACGTGCTCCTCTGAACTCCCCTGCAATTACAATTTCAATAATTCATTTGGCAATTAATCATACCCTGCCTTGTGACACCTCCTCTATTCCGTGTTGAGCTGTTATTTAGAAGTGCAATTGTTTCACTTCCCAGGAGCTGCATATGCTGCCTCGCTAATCTAGTTGGGGTTTTGTTGTTTATTTCCTGGCAGCCAATCAAAGCAGGAGGAGCAGCTGGAGGCCCACGCTAGGGGTGGCTGGGGGTGCTCACCCAACAGGCAGCCGTCGGGAGGGTCAGGGGCCCTTTGGACAGGTCGGGAGGGTCAGGGGCCCATTGGACAACAGCGTCTTGGAGAGCTGGCCCACCACACTCCTCAGCCTCCTTCCCTCCCGGTTCCCTGCTTATGAAACATCTCTGGGTACAAACAGTCCCGGGGATTTTCCACGCATTTGTACAGTCTCCTTGACTGCGGTACATTTCCTGTGGGCAGGGACCATTCATTCTATTTTCACGGAGTCTGCTTAACATGATGTGGCAAACTCTGAAATTAGAGAGAGCAGTCCCAGATTAGAGTCTTGGCCCTGCCACCCCCTAGCTGGAAGCCCGGGGAAGCCATTTCGCTTCTCTTGGCCTCAGTTTCCCCATTGCTAAAACAGGGGGTCAAATGTCTCTCTCATGAGACTGGCGTGGGAATCATGAAACAAACACACAGTCTCTCTGTAGATTCTGGGCGCCTTACAAACATCAACCTCTCTATCTTCACAAAAACTCTTTGAAGTAAATTCTTCATTATCTCCATTTTACACAGAGATTCAGGGGCAAGGAGCAGAAGCATGGAGGGGGTGCTCTAAGAAACACAGGGGGGCACCCCAGGAATAACCATGAAGGCATGAGTTCATGCCTCCGGGTGTCTGGGTGTGGATGAGGGAGCGGTGGTTGGAGGGACAGGTGTATGGGAGCAGAGACCGGCTGTGGAGGGCAGCGGTGGGGCGGGGGGGGGGGGGGTGTCTCTGAATGTTCCCCAGAAGTTTCCAGGCTTCAGGTCTGACTTGAGTAGTGGAGAGTGGCATCCGGGAATGTTCTGGGCTTAAATGCACTCCAAGATCAACGAATTTGCTTGAGATGAACTTGACCAGGGAGGAGAGGAGTAGAGTTCTGGGGATGTGGCTGAAGAGGGTTCTTTGGAGCTCATTGCTTTTTGAGCCCCAGATCCTCCCAGAGCCAAGGACTGGAAGGGGCCACCGTGATATAACACAGGCCTGATCTGTGCACTCTGTGCATAATGAGGTGTGGGGGCTGCACGAGCAAGAAGAGGGCCTTCTTTTGCCTGCAAGAGACCCCGTTGCTTTAGATGCTCTCCTGGTACCAAGGCCAGCTTGGGAGCTGCGTCCCCACGTCTGCTCTGCCCTCGGGATCAGAAGTGCTGCATCTTCCCCTCCCCAAATGCAGCAAGGGAACCAGACAAGCAGACACGGACCGTCACCACCTGCCAGGTGCTAGACAGGAGCAGATGGGCTCTCAGAGGACGAAGAGAAGGGGTTAAGAGGAGGAGAGGGCCTGAGGGAGAGGAAGAGGGGAGAGGAGAGGGTGAGGAGGAAAGGGTCTGGGGGAAAAGGGAGGGAGAGGGTGGGAGAGGTTGGGGGGAAGACAGGGGTAGAAGGAGGGAGAGGGAGGGGAGCTATAGGGTAAAAGAGGGAGGCAAACACAACCCCTTGTCTTCTAGGGGCTTACAGTCAGGTGGGGGCAGTGAAGTTCAAGCACCTGGAGCCGCCTCTGAGCCTCTGGAAGAAAACACTGCACAGCCCACCCCGCCCCCCGCCCCCCTCCATGACTGAGAAGCACCTAACAGGTAGGCAGGCTCTGGAGAGAGGCTGGAGGCTGGACTCAGGAGGAAGCCAGGGGACCGTATGTGTTTAGAGCCTCTTGCCCTCCAAGAAAGTGAGGCCTCACATCCGAGGTGCGGTCCAGTCAGGGGCGAGGGGCCCTGAGGCTTAGGCGGCCCCAGTGCCCACCCAAGGTCGAGGGTCACCGCCTCCCAGAAGATGAGCTATTATTCTCTAGGTTCTTCCACTGACTGGCTGGCGATCCCGGAAACCGGCAGACTTTCCCGAGCTTGTCTCCGCCTAACTCAAGGGCCATCGTGGAGACTGTACGAGGTGGTGAACGGGAAATGCTTTATATAAGTGGAAACCTTAATGTCCCCGCGCGCGGCTCTAAGATGCTCAGCCTCTGCCAGGTGCGCATCCTCCCAGCGTGCATCTCCAGCCTGGGCCTCTCCTGACCCGCCATCTCCACTGGGACGGCCACCGCACCTTTCCTTTCTCTGTCGTTCGTGGGTAGCGGACGCACAACGTTACGTTAGTTTCAGGTGTACCTACAACTCGGTGATGGGACGAGTTGATACGTTGCGCTGTGCTCACCACACGGGTAGCTGCCATCTGTCCCGCTACAGCCCTATTACGATACCGTCCCCGTGACGGTTACCCATCCAGTTACCCGTTCGGTGACTGGAAGCCTGCGTCTCCCACTCCCCTTCAGCCACTGCGGCCCCCCACCCCCAGCCCCACTCTGGCCGCTCCAGTTTGTTCTCTGTACTTATAGGTCTGGCTCTGTTTCCAACAATCATCTTAATGTACTCAAAATTAGCCCCCTAATATCTTTCTCCAAACCTGCCCTACCTCCTAGTTGCTAAGGCCGAATCCATAGAAATGTCACTGACTCCTTTTTTTTTTTTTTTTTTTTTTTGCACCCTGTATCTGAACCACCAGCAAATCCTATTGGCTCCGACCTTTCAAATACATCCGGAACAGTCACTGTCACGGCCACCATGGCCTGAGCTGCCGTCGGCTCTTCCCCAGGCTTCTGGCGTAGCTTCCCAGCTCGTCCCCCACCCATCCCTGCCTCCTTGTATGTATTCCGTGCAGCAGATGCCGGTTTAAAACACACACTGGTTCATGGGCCTCCTGGAAGAGTCCGATGGCCCCGCTGCACTGGGGGTGACAGCCAGTCATTAGAGCAGCCCACGGGCCTCTCGTCTCCTCTGCGCCTCGCCTCCTACTATGCGGCTTCGGGCACACGGGCCTCCCTGCTCTGCCTCGGATACAGCAGGCGCCCCCACCTCAGGCCTTTGCACTCGCCCCACAGTTTCTGGATCGCCCCGGCCCAGACACCTGCATCGCTTGGGTTCTCACTCTCAAGTAGCATTTAAACTTTCTCTACTGCCCCCCAGCCCCAGGGTTCCCCATCCTCTCTGTTTTAGTTTTCTTCAGAGCGCTTAGCACTTCTAATGGATTATATGATTTATTTATTCCCTCCCTCCACCTCGTCCATCCCATAAGGCTTAAGAAATTTGTTCCCCACCCCCACTCCCCCACCCCCACCCCTGCACCGCCCACTGCCGTATCCCTGGTTTTTAGAACTGTGTCTGGCATGTAGGTGGGCTTTCGGGACATGCTTGAATGAATGAATGAATGAATGATGGGTGATGGAGCCACCCCACCCCCACCCCAGCCACACTGGAGGAGGGGGGCCGTGTGAAGGCGCTGCAGGCCTGGGGAGGGAGGGCAGTTTGGCTACATTAAAAGCCTGCTTGCTGCTGCTAAAACCCTGAGGTCTTTCTGTCACGGTCTTTATCAAAAGGCCACATCTCTCCCCTTCCAGCACAATCAGTTCAAAATCAGTCAACTAGAACATCTCTCTTGCCCTAAGAGCCTCGTTCCTTCGGGCAGATGCTGGCAAGGCCGACTGTCCCTCGAGCCCGGACGGTCTGCACCCTTGCTTGAGGCTGGAGGCTTGGGAGGCCGGGGACATTTTCCTGTTTCGGTGGGAGCATAGAGCAGCGATGTCTGTCCCTCTGGCAGGGCCGGCCTCAGCCGCCAGCACTGAAAGCGGGGCTCCTGAGGCGGCTCGGGGCGGTAGGCAGAGGCCAGCTGCAGAACGGGCCTCACGGGTGGCTCCGGGGGACCTGAGAGGGCGGTGAGACTGGGGGACACGGAGATGTCTGCCCTACGCAGGTAAGGCAGCGATAAACTGGGGCCATCTGTGCTGTTGTTAGACATTCTAAGTGGAGAGCCAGACTCCCAGAACAAAGAAAACAGCTCTTCAAAGAGACAGGGAGGGGGGGAGGGAGGGAGAAAAACACAAACACGGCAGCAAGCAGCCCGTGCGCACACACCCCTCATCTAATCATAAAAACATATTCCAAACAGGTTCCAGAGCTGTCCTTGGAAGGGATGTTTGATATATATATATATATATATATATATATATATATATATATTTCCCTGAAATTCTAACTGTCAGATCTCTCAGGAAATGGCTCTGCTTGAACAGACTTTCCCGGACCTTCATTTCATGAATGTTGAAAACGGAATTTCGATAAGACAAAGGCAAACACAACCGGTGACAATTGCTCTTGGAGGCCCTTCCGGATTTTCTCTTCCTCCGGATCCCCCCACCCTCCCACTGCTCCCTCACCCCCGCCCCCCGCCCCGACATCAGCTGTGTTTCCCTCATCCCCCAGGGACCACCGTGGCTTCTGGAAGCTCAGAGGGCTTTCCTTTCATTATGTGGGCTCAGGGCCATGAGGCGGGAGGGAGACTGAAGACCGGTCCAAGCTCAGAAGCGGGAGGAGAGCCGGAGGGCTGCCTTGCTCGGCCCCTAACCACATGGGGCCTCAGCCTTCTCATCCATACAATGGGAATGATGTGCCCACTGCACGGGGCTGTGGTGAGGATTTGAGGCACGGGAGGATGTCCTGGAGAAAGGCTCTGAGGTACCCCAGAAGGCTCCCCAGCCAGCCTTTGGTACCTGGGCCACAGTCCCCTGGGGTCACTGCTATTCCCTCTTAAAATTTCTGTTTCTCTCGACTTCTAAATGAAGAAGAGGCGGGCTTGGAGGCAGAGAGCATAGGGGGATGAGGTGAAGGAGTTTGGGGCTGTTGACACGGAGGGAAGACACGGGAACAGATGTGTATTAAGAGGCTCCTCTGTGTCAGACACTGAGTGTGGTACCTTACGAAGTCTTACCCATCCCTCCAAACGTCCCTGCCGGGAAGTCGACGCTATCCCCCCATATTCCAGAAAGGCGAGCCAAAGCTCAGGCCGGAAAGGATTTGCCTAGAATGACAGAGCTAGGGGTCTATTCGGGTCCTGCTCCCGTTGAACTGGAAGGTCATCCGCGTGCTTGTCTTCCCCTGACTGCTGTGTGACGTCAGGCACATCGCCTCCCGTCTCTGGGCTTTCTTCCCCACACATGTAGAGCAAGAGGGGTGGACTAGAGTTGTGAAGCCCAGGTGTAAGGCTTTATTATGGGGCAGAGTACGTATTGTCAAGACATTCATGGCCCACCCCTGAGGGAGGGTTCTGACTTCTGCTGCACTGAGGCAGGCTGGTCCCTCAGGCAGCGAAATGTAGTGGAAACGACGTGTGCTGGGTCCAAGCAGATGCCTGAAGCGCCCCGTGACAGCTCCCACCATTGCCTCTTCCTCGGCCGGGTGGGACTGCTGTCCGTCAGCCTTGGTCCTGGAGTGAAGGCGACATGGAACCGAGCTCTGCAGACCCCCCATGAATGTGAGTGTGAGAAAGACCGAACTCTTGGCTGCTGTAAACCATGCGGATTCGGGGTCGTTTGTTACCACCTCTGGACTCAGCTTTAATTGAAAGGTACAGCGAGGAAAGGAGAAGGGGGAGAGGGAAGATCACATCCTGGGGACTGATTCTGCCCCTCCCTGAGAAAAGGAGGAGTCTGTCAAGGGACCGGGAAGTGCCCGAGAGTTCCCCTGAGGTGTCAATGGCTCACTGACTTACCTGAACTCCTCCTGATCCTCCAGAACAGGATGCACCAATGCTGGGGGTGGTGAGGGATGCTAATGTCCTCAGAACAATGGTAAGATGGTCGACATCCGCCAATCAGGTAAGAAAAGAGGAAAGGAATAGACGAGAAGTACATACCGAGGAGGATATTGTAAGATGTTTCTTCTGTTTCTGTTTTCTTTTTTAAGTGTATTTATTCTGAGAGACAGAGAGAGAGTGTGAGCAGGGGAGGTGCAGAGAGAGAGAGAGAGAGAGAGAGAGAGAGAATCCCAAGCAGGCCCCACATTGTCATCGTGGGCCCAACATGGGGCTCGAACCCACGAACCGTGAGATCATGACCTGAGCCAAAACCAAGAGTCAGACGCTCAACTGACCGAGCCACCCGGGCGTCCCTCTTCTGTTTCTAACAGGAAACACTACTTCTAGGGCAGCAGAGACTCTTGATGCTTGTGGAGGACAGCCCTCCTATTTGACAGGTGAGTGCTGAGGATCCGGGGTGCTAAGTGACCTCTGAGGGATCACACTGTGAGCTAGCGTCAGAGTTGAGACCTGGGCCCGGGGCCTGAAGAGTGCTAGCCTGGGTTGGGCCTTCCTGTTTCCTTTCAGTGACTAACAGTAAAAATTCTCCCAAAGGCAAGGGCAAGTTCACTTGAAGGCCGGCAAGGAAGGTGGCAGCTGGGGAGCGGGCGCCCCCTGCCCACTGGGAAAGCGAAGGCACGGGCAGGCGGATCAGGAACAGGCCACCAGTTCCTCCGGCAGGTGAGCGTGAGGACTTACGAGGGCGCGCGCCCCGGGAGGAGAAAGGACAAGACCCACTAACAACGGCACAGCCACCCCGTGTTGAGGGCCTCGTATGCACAGGCTTCGTTCGGATCACCCACTTACCATATGTCATCTCATGTCGATCCCGTGGCACAGTCGCAAGATTCCTGTTTATTAGAGGAGCCCCTCGAGGCTCAGAGGAGTCAAACAATTTGCCGAGATCTCACCGCTCATAAGTGGCAGAACTGGGCTTTGCACCCCGTCAGTATGACCTTGCTGAGGGAGGCGGTGGAGAGAGGCTGGGGGCAGAGGGCCAGCAGAGGGAAACGGGAAGTGGGTGCTCACGCCCAGCCCAGCCCAGCCCTGGTGACCCTGACTCCGAATGGTTGCCAGACTCTCAGCCAGCAGCCTCCAGCCGAGGCCTCCCAGAGCTCAGCGGGAAAGGCTCCAGGCCATGGCCAGACCAGCCTGGGTCCCTTTGTCATATTACCTTGTGTGGCATGGCGGCACCCCACCTACCTAGCAGCGGCTAAGGAATGAGTCAGGGCTGCTGGTGTGCTCTTGGCTGTGTGGAAAGATCCGTAGATCCTGGTAGCCCCTGAGCCACCTGCTCGGGACAGATTTCAGCCTCTGGATCCACCAGTACAGGGTTCTAGCAGGGAGGGCTTGGGCCACGGGAGAGCTCGACAGAAACTGGCTTTGGACCAATGCACGTTTGTGGCTGGACATCTCCTCCCAACTAATAAACAAACAATCATTATTTTTCTCTGGCCAAATGGAAGCTAGCCTCAGAGAGCTCAGCAAGAGAGCAATAATGGGTTATTGACAGACAGGGAGAGCTTAATAGGCCACAGACCGATGAGGATCCGAGATTGATGAGGGCTGTGCTGTCGATTATCGGAACCCCTTCCAGCCTTCCCCGAGGGGCTCCCCACTCTCTGTTTTCTGTCCCGGGCAGGACCCTGGCAGCTCCCTCAGCAATTAGCTGGGCGGTGGGGAGGGCTGGGCCCCATCCTCCCAGGTTCGGAGGGGAAGGAATGTATTTGTAATTGTGAGGAGTGTGATGGCTATCAAAAGTCCACGGCTTCAGCCACCAATGCCGGGCACCTCAGGCTTGTGAGGCCTGAGCCCTGGCTGCCAGGACACATGTCACAGCAGAGTCCTCTCTCTGCTTCCCACCGGAAAACTGAAGGACATCTAATGGCTCTCCCAGGGAGGGAGAAAAAAGAACAAAGTGCTTTTGAGCCTCACGCTAGACAAGTCCATCCACTGGTCACTTGTTCTCTTCCATCTGTGTTTTGGTCCCAGCCATCAGTGGTCATTAATAAATCATAAAGGTGGTTGAACTTCACAGTTCTGACACTTTGCAGCAGGTTGAACCTCACGACTTGGACAGTTTGATGACACCTGAATTTGTAGACTCTTGCGAGTTAGACCCACAGGTCCCCTGCCCTGACCTGTGTCCCTCCACGTGGTTCTTTGCCTGAAGGCATCATCATCAGAATCGCTGCCCAACTCCTAAGTCTTGTCCCAATTGCACGTTCTGCTCCAGAGTAGGACTTCTTACCAGTCTCGTTCCCAAACCCGAGATCCTGGGTACGGTTTGAGAAACTGACAAAGAGGTCGAGAGTCTGGCCAAGGCTTGGCAGTCCTTCCTTATGTCCAGTTCTTGCCCTGGGCTCTTGCCTTGATTCCTAGATGCCACTGGGATGCTCAGCAGGTGACCTGGTCTGTGATGCACGTGGCTGTGCGGGCAGGGAAGCTGTAGACAGAATCGGTGCCTTTGGGTACAGCCACGGCTACATCCGGCACGAAGACAAATGCCAACTGAGTGTTTAAGCTTTGGGGACCAAAGTACAAATAAAAGAACAATTAGCACACTTCTGACTGCTCTTACCCATGGTGCCCAAGAGGCCCAGACGCAAAGTGCCCGCGTCACACACAGGCCACCCTCCTCACCAGATACAGGGAACGTGACTGAGCAGGACATCCAGATGTTTGTGAGTCAAGTCAGGGCCGCAGGAGAGAGCTGTGACCGAATCGAACCCACTTAACGTTTCCAGGCATGTCCCTCTCTGCGGTTATTGTCTTATCAAAGATTTATATCTGTCTCATAAGCATCATTCAATCCTTGGTCTCTCGTGAGGCCTGAAGCCAAGAATTGACATTTCTTCAATGTAAATAGGAAATATTACAGAATGAGTTGAGATCAGTTTTTTAAAAAATTGCTTTCTTGACTTTTAACCCTGCAGTCTTGCTGACTATTTAATTCTACCCGCAGTGGCTCAGGAACAAGCCTGTGATTTCTGTAACGTGACACCGGGTTTCGAAGCTGACAGTCCACCCCTCCAAATAGGAGCTCAAGTCTGCGGGTCCAAGTCACGAAATGAACCCCAAAGTTCCAAGAGGGCGGGAGGCTGGGCCTCGAGGGAGGCGCGTGGCCGTGGGCATGTGCGGTGGCCCTGGCCTGGGAATGGGTCGTCTGCATGAATCGAAGGCCTTTCCCGGGGAAGCGGAGTTAGTGACGGGAGCTGAGTGCATGGGCCGACCTGCAGGCACGTATTAAACCCGCGACGTCTCCAAGATCGTGCCTCGCAATTGCTTTTCGTCCTTTATCGAGCAGCTGCTCTGTGCTGTTTTAGAAACATTAGCTCTTCAGATGCTCACAGCTGCTGGACTGATGAGCCTCCAGTTGCAAGGCAAACACGGAGACATCTGGAGGTGAAGGGTCTTGCTGAGGCCACAGGGCTCCACAGTCACCTTGACTGTGGTCCGGGAGCTGATCCTGGGGAACAAAAGCCCTCATGTGCCCACTGACAGCCTGGCCATGTGCTGGTTTTCACATCTGCGGTGGGGAGCTAGATCTAGGAGGTAGGGACTGAGTGAGGGTAGAGTGTGTGTGTGTGCGTGCGTGTGCGTGTGTACAGCAGGCACACTTAGCTTCCCCACAGACAAGCTCACCCGGGTTACCTTCAATACAGAGCCGGCCTGGCGCACTTCAGGCATCATTCGAACGGCAGGCGCTCCTCTCCGGGCTCATTGGCAGAAATGTGCAAAGCGGGAGGCAGCTACCAACAGACCTGAGGAAATGACGTCGGTTTCCTTGCTTTTCCGAGGATGTCCCCCTTTCCTAGTCAGGCTCCACTTCCCCGAATCAAATCACTACGGTGTTGGGGTTTCTAGGCCTCCCGGAAGGAGAGAGCACTGCCCACCGGCCTCTGTGTCAGGCCCGTTGGCCTTCGAAGGCGCCTCCCGGCCTGGTGTGCCGCCGGGTGCCGAGCAGAAGCTCCGAGAACAGTCACGGGAGCAGGGAGCATTCAGCCGTCCGGCCGGGGCCTTGCCTTCCCCGTCCCCCAGCTTCTGTCCCCCACGCTCTGGGACAGTGACTGGATTTTCTGTTTGCTTGCTTCCTCCCCGCTCCCGGGCTCTGCAGCAAAGCCGAGCAGCACGGTGAGCCGTGCGTGGCCGTGGGGGAGGCGGCGTGTGGCGGCCCTGGGCCCCGCTCGGCGCCCATACTTCTTAGGGCTCTGGGCTAAGGGCTGCTTCCAGGACTGCTGACTGAAGGGGCTATTTCTGGGTCGGAGGACAGAGCTCCCGAGGCCGACTGGGAGGGTATTTATAGAGTCAACCTTGGAGAACAGGGATGCTCACATCCCTGGAACCTTCCCTCGGTTAGAAGTTTCTAAAGATAGAGCCGGGTGGCATCTGGAGTGAGCCAAGGCACACTAATTCCTTTTAAATCCACCAAGAACGTTCTCCGAATAAATGCTGACCGGTTTTCTCGGGGTTGACTTTTTCCTTTCCCCTCAGCGCTCTGCTGGATCCCGCCTCTTGGCTTGTGTCGTTGGTGGGGAACTGTCCACTGCCAGGGAAACTGAGGGAGCAAGCAGGAAGCGACTTGCTGGGGTAACGTGACATCTCTGTGACGGTGCCCCACCGAGGACTGGACTCAGCAGCAGGGGAAGAGAGGGGACGGGCAGTTCACCTTTTTTTGTCATTTGTCAGCCCTGTGCCAGGTGACACAGGCACTATGGCAACCCATCCCTGCACTGCCTCTGGGAAGTGGGTGTTATAACACCCATTTTACAGATGAAGAAACCGAGGCTCAGGGACTTGCCTCAAATTGCTCTAAATTGGTGAAATTAAGGCGCTCTTCACCCAGCTCAGCCTAAGACACTGGGGAGGAAGGCAGGACACGAGCGACATTTGTCTCCAGATTTCAGATGTGCAGTCAGGTCCGTGAATCCCGAAGCTCGTGGGTTTTAAGGCTGTCCTTAGTGACTACTCTGCCCTCTCATCTTTTGCCCTGAAATGAGAACAATTTTTGCAAACCAGGCCTGGCCAGGCCCAGCTTCTAGGGAGTGGCAGTCTCCACCTTTTTCCAAACTGTGGGACCCCTTCAGCTGCCTTATGAAATGCCCCCGTCCCCACTCCTGTCCATCCCCCCTTGACAAAAAGGGGATGTAAAATGAGTAGAAGGATATTTGTTGACACGGAGCTCTATCTGCCCCCGCCTCCTGGCAATCCTGGAATTTAAGCGTTTTCTCTCCTGCCTATGGATGAGGGAAGGAGGGCTCGGAGAGGTTAAGTAACTTGCTCAGCGTCCCGCAGACCACGAGAGGCCCAGCCCGGATGCCGACCTCTGGACCGTCCGCCTCGGTTGGCGCCCATTGACTTTCTGGCTCCAGCAGCATCTGCCACAGAGATTGGATTCAGTAGCTGCCTGGCTGGTTTGGTATTTTCGCCGATTCTCAATCGACCGCTCCACGTCTGACAGCATCGTCTGTGCAGTGGGTAATGGGATCTGATGGTTAAGGTGACCCTTGCTCAGCCCAGCCACAGCCCATCCGTCTGGATTCCAAGCACAGGCTGCCTTCCAGCTCAGGCCGGGTGGTGGCGGGGGCGGGGGTGGGGTGGGGGCGGCTGGAGGCCTGCTTCTCTCGCAGGCCTGGGGGGACTCCTCTTCAGCCTTCACATTCAACCTCCATGTGACTTCTCTGCACTTCTGGGAAGTCAGGAGGGAGAGGCCAGGGCACCAGCACCACCCAAGACAAAGGGAACTTGGGGTCTGTAGCGTTCTGGCTGAGAATGTTCCAATGTTTCCCTTCTGATGAGTTAAACTCTGCTCATCCTTAGGGGCCTGCGTGAGGCTCCCTCCTTCTGGAAAACTCCTCATTTCTCTACCCACCAGGGCACCTGTTGTGTACTCTACACATTCTGGAACTACAAAATCAGTGAACCTCAGAGAACACGGTTATCCTCCTGGCCGACTCTGGAATTCCTTCCCATCATCCCTACAGTGTCCTCCCTGCCTCCTTACTTCTCAAAGCAGCCATTCCTTGATGAGACAGCACTAAGCATTTGAACATTTCCTCTCTTCGAGCAGAAATATGCCTGTGGTGGCCCATCACTGAGCCCTGCCCTCTGGATTCGGCCCATTGGCAGCCTCCAGATCTTTAAAGAAAACTCTTAGGGCCCCTCCAGGCCTTCTCTTCCTCAAACAAGACCGGAAGATCCTCAGCAAAACCCAAGAAACGTCCTTCCTAGAAGTGGCAGCTTCAGAGGGCAGTGCCGAACGAGGCCGTTTGCAGGTGCATCGGGGTACAGCTATTCAAAAGGTTTAAATGACATCATTTTATCAGCAACTCACAGACACCAGCATAGTCCCATTAGCACTGAAAAAATTACCGAGTTTCATTAAAAGCAAGATCAAGCTTAGAGATATACAAATTTACCAACCGTCGTTGAAAAAAACCCTTTCTCGCTAAGGTGTTACATCTGCTGGCTGCAGGCTTGTCAGAGCACGGGGCTGGAGCGGCCTGTCCTGCGGCAGAGGCCGGGGTCTGCGTGAAGGTCTCTGCAGAGCTACCCAGAGGCCGGGCAGGATTGGCGGGCACATGCTGTTTGGCCTTGCGGGGAGAAGCTGGTGTGGGAGCAACGCAGGGTTGGCTGGGGGGGGGGGAGGCGTGGGCGTGGAGGGAGGGTTGTGGGGGCCCTGCTGCCAGCGCCCCCTCTGGCCGCCACAGTTAAGCCCCAGCCCCTCACGGGGAGCGGGGACTCCTCGGTCCCCGGGGTTATAAAGGAAGGACTGAGCTCAGTGAAAGGGAAGCACAACAGCAGGTCTGTTTCCTCCAAATCCGTGCTCCTCTCTTCCACCGCGGCCCTCGCTGGTTCATTCTCTGTTTCACGCGTGAACGTCTCAGGTCCCTGGGAGGTAGCGTAATGTCTGAGGCCCGGACTGTGCCTGTCACCCCTCCCACCCTCGGCACCCACTACCGCACAGGGCGGGTGGACCGGGGGCGCTTGGGGAACTGCAGTGGTGCCGAGCGCCTTATGACCCCGGGGACCGTGTTCCTTACGCATCCTGCTGTCTGTGGCTGCAGGTACCCGTCCCCGTGCCCAGGTGCCCAGGCCTCCACAGTGGGCCTAAAATGTCCCTGTCCCCTTCCCCGGTGATCCAACTTAACAAAGGGAGGCTAAGCCTACCCCCCACCCACTCCTCAGGGACTTGAGAGGAGGCTCTTTGAAGAACGGTACTAGGTATAGTGATATCGTTCTTATTAAGAGTCAGAGTAATAGTCTTAGCAGCCACTGGTTTTGCTGGGTCCCCATCATCCCCTCAACTTGGCCCTGGCCCCAAGGCTGAGACCCCTAGTGCTCGCCTGTGCCCTCTGCTTTTGGAAATGAGCCAGATGGTTCAGGAACATCTCTGGTCGTGATCAAAGGTCACGGGAGGAAACAGGTGTAACACTCCGCTCCATTGTCTTGCGCGCTGTTTCTTTTCTCGTCTGTCCTCAGACACCACCCCCAGCCCGCCGTAGTTGTGTGTTCGCTGTGATTTGGGGAAAGAACAAGTGTCGGCCCAGAGCCTGGTGATTCTGCATCGGTCCCAGCGGAGCCGGGGAAGGATCTTGTCACACAAGCGTCCCCGCCATCCCAGGGAAGCCAGTGCAGGGGGTTGCCAGGGTGGGACCCCAACGCCAGGGTTAGCACTGAAGGTAGAGGGGCAAGAGCCATGAGAACCCAACAGTCTGGAGCTGTGATGCTCAAGTTTGAGTGTAAATCACAGTTGATTGGCCTGCTTGATAAAAATGCACATTCCGGGGCCCCTTGCCCTTGTCTTTGTGAACAACCTTGACGTCTCCCCCACGATTTTGCTCCATTGTGGCCCCTTGGCAACACCATCTCGGGCCCCCCAGACAGAGCTGTTATGTTCGTCCTGCCCCCAGAATACTTACATGTTTCCACGTTCTGTTATCCAGGCAAGGACCCGGCCGGGAGGTGCTCATCTCTGTGGCTCATGTTTTTAGATGAGAATTTTGGAATAGCCACCGTGTGCCAAGGTCTATGCAAAGACCTATATATATATATATATATATATATATATATATATATATTACCTCAATGATCCTTGCAACAGCGTCTAGTGCCATTTTACCTATGAGGGGACTGAAGCTTAGCCCAACATCACACAGGGTGGGGGTTCAAACCCAGGTCTGTGGGGTTTCCGGACCTACGCATCTAACCACTACCCCATTCAGCAAGGATCACTGGAGGAGGCAGGTGTTTGGGGAATGAGGGAGTGAGGGCTGAATGGGTGCGATTTGAATGACGTGCTAACCCCGTTCCGTTGGCGGGAGGTGATTACAGGGACATATTAAGAACAGAGAATAGCATATAGAGGAAGGGAAGGAAAAACAAGATAAAAACAGAGAGGGAGGCAAGCCATAAGAGATTCTTTTTTTTAAGTGTTTATTTTAGAGAGAGTGAGGGTGAGAGAGACGGAGTGTGTGCACACAAGTGGGGGAGGGGCAGCGAGAGGGGGAGACACAGAATCCGAAGCAGGCTCCAGGCTGAGCTGTCGGCACGGAGCCGACACGGAGCTCGAACCCACGGACCGCGAGATCATGACCTGAGCCGAAGCTGGATGCTTAACCGACTGAGCCAGCCAGGCTCCCCAAGAGACTCTTAAATATAGAGAACAAACTGAGGTTGCTGGAGGGGAGGTGGGGGCATGGGCTAAATGGGTGATGGGCATGAGGGAGGGCACTTGTTGGGATGAGCACTGGGTGTTATAGGTAAGTGACGAATCACTACATTCTACTCCTGAAACCATTATTACGCTACATGTTACCTGTCTTGGTTTTAGGTAAATTAAAAAACAAAAATAAAAACAGAGAACAGCACGCTCTGCTTTTAGGACACTAGGCAAAGGCCCTGAGTTTGTGAGTAGGTGGAGGTGAGAAGGAGGTAAACCTTGAGGATTGTGATACTTTGAGCACATGCTCCAGCCTCAGCTCCGCAGAATGATCTTCTGGAGAGCAGGGTCTATTTCGTGTTCTCACTTTCTTTTCCTTCCTTCCTTCCTTCCTTCCTTCCTTCCTTTCTTTTTTTTTTTTTTTTAAGTAAGCTCTGGGTCCAATGTGGGGCTTGAACTCCCCACCCCGAGATCAAGAGTCACATGCTCTACTGATGGAGCCGGCCAGGCAGGCGCCCCTGTGTTCTCACTTTCTAAGCCCCACTCTTGGAAAAAAGTGGGTGCTTAGTGGACACCCGCTCAATTCATTCATTAGAGCATTGTTTTCATTCATTCGTTCATTCATGGGAAGCCAGTCCTTGCTTCCACAGCCTGCTCTCACAGGGTCCCCCGCCGCCCTCACTCCCAGCCTCCCCTCCAGAGAGAAACACTCACGGGCCCTGCTGTGGAGGGGACATCCCCCCCCACATCGAGCCTCATTCAGCCTGTGTAAAATCCCACATTGGACTTGGTTCTCCGAGTCCCTCCACCTCTGACTTCTCCAACCTAAGATCCAGCCAGGGCTCCGGCTTGCCCCGCTGGCTCTCTGGGACGCCACAACGCTGGCCTTCCAGAACAGTCTACAGCCATTAGAACCCTGTCCCCGTGCCCCTGCCTCCGTCCGGCAGGTGACTCCTATCACAGCTGGGGGAGTGAGCCACTTCTTCTGCCCAGACAGCAGGCATTGGAAATTATTCAGGAATAACAAACAGGCCAGAAACATTTGCATAAGGAATCACGCAGAACAATACATGTTATTTAAACCATCTCTGGTTGGCAACAGAAGCAAAAAGCAGCTGAGATAAATCTGCAATGCAAATCAGCCTTATTTGGAGCAGAGGCTCAGCTTGTTTGGGGGTGGGGGGCACAGCCAGAGACGGGGAGAAAAGAAAACTCCATTGTTTCCATTGCGCGCCCCCCCAACTACGCCTTCTCTGCCTACATTTTCTCATTTCCCTCCTTCCCTCCCTTCTTCAGAGATTAATGGAAACAATTTGTCTTCTAATGTGACTACAGCTTATGAATTCTTTGTCTCCCTCTAATCCTTTAAATTACCCACATAATAAAATATGTATCCAGTGATTTCAGGTCATAATTTGATCTTCTAGGGGATGTGGGGAGGGGGGTAGGTGAGCGGAAGCGGGCTCTTCTCACGGTTTGTTCCTCCCCTCCATTTGTCTTTATTTGTCATCCTTTTTTTGTTTTGTGTTGTTTGCTTAATGATCTTCCTCGCGCTTCCTTTCCATGCTCTGCCCCCACCCCCCCCACTACCCCTGCCGGACTTCCTGAGTGTGCCGGGGGTCCGGGCTGGGAAGGGGCAGTGCAGGACTGGGTTTTGGGGGGGGGCAGGATGGCCTCCTTCTCAACAGTCAGGAAGGTTCCTGACTTCCCAGGGGCAGCAGGTCCCCGAGGACCAGGCTTTGACTACCTAACGTCCAAGGGGCCTTTAAGATCCAGGTCTCCCCAGTCCTGCCTGTGGGTCTCAAGCAGGTGACAATCCCACATTTACCAGCCTGGGTGCTCCCTCTCCTGTGCCTAACATCACAGGACAGCTCCCCACTACACAGGTCAGTCCTCCAGGGGACTGTCTGGCAAGCACACCACCATTCCCCCGGGATCCCCAGTGCTGGC